CCCCAAAACCCCAAAACCCCAAAACCCCGACAAAAGCTTATCATAGGATTTATTGAAAGAATTCTTAATAATAGAAGTCATGAGTAATATAGTTGTTTAAAACGTATCCTTTCAAGATTATTTTGAACATAAATAACTTTAATAAATTTTGAGTTAGAATCTTTAAAAATTTTAACAAAGTATCACAACTAACTAATCGTAACTTAACTCAGGAAATGAACTCTAACAACAATAATGAACATCATAACAATGCTAAGAAGACCAACTCAAACGGCATGTTTAACTAGGCCACTACAAATCACGATGGGCCGAAAAGAATTGGATCTAGTGATAGACCAAGTCCAAGATTCAACGGAGTTTAGAATGAAAAGCCAAGGACTGGTCTTGGGAGTAAGAAAAATGACAGAAGTCAGAATAATGCAGTCAATAACCCAGAGGAGAAAATAAGGAATATCGTTAAGATACCACAGAGACAGGTTGTGGCTGACTAGTCTCACTACAATTCTGAGCAATATATGGGAATGATGCAGAACACTAAAGTTCTGCCAGGGGCAGCTATTAAGAGAAATCAAAGATTTCTGAGCACAGACAAAACCATGATAAAAAGTCATATCTCATAGCACTAAGCACCTTAGAGTAACATGGTTCCGATTGAAATCGGTCACTAAAGGTAAAAAAGTGATAATAGAGGAATTGGGGGAGTCTAAACTGAGTAAGGTGGCTAGATGGGAGATGACTCTGAGGATCTTATGGGCCATAACTATTAGTAGCAGAAACATCTGAATACTTTCACTACTCCTGAAGATGAAAAGGAAGACTTATCATAAATCATAAAATTTGGAAAAACTTAGTTCTCAGACTACACCAAAGTAAGTGTCTTGGGTAGAGGAACCTACGGTGAGGTGACTAGGTGCATCCACATTTAGAGTGGACTTGAAGTCGCAATCAAAACCTTCTTCTTCGATGTAAATAAATATCAATTAAACTAGTACTAAACTAACTATAGAATGTTCAGAATGGTATCAATTACTCCACTATGAGAGAAATCAGCTTGCTTAAAAGTTTGAGTCAGTACCCACAATTTGTTAAGATGCTTGATGTTATCAAGGATGACAATCACAAAGATAAGATCATTCACTGTGTGTTTGAGTACTGTCTGACAACTCTCGGCAAGTTCTTAGCCAAATAAAAGCTTATGGGCAAGCCATTTTCACTTGAGAGGATTCAAGATATGATGAAGGGTCTCCTAATTGCCATTGACATCATGCATGGAAAAATGATCTTGCACAGAGATATTAAACCTGATAATATTCTGATGGATAACAAATGTAAGACATATTTAGCCATTTCATTTTTCTCATTAAATTCTAATAGGCAATTTAAAACTAGCTGATTTTGGATTGGCTAAAAAGGCTTCATTCATGCAAAGAAGAAAATCCAATACAATTGTCTCTCTTTGGTATCGTGCTCCTGAGATTGTACTCGGATCTGAAGATTATCTTCTTGGAGTGGATATGTGGTCAATCGGCTGTATTTTTGCAGAATTCTTCACATTGGTACCGGTTTTTCAGTGTAAAAATGAGGAGGAAGCCTTGAACAGAGCATTCAAGATACTCGGTTCCCCTTCAGAGACTCATTCCCCGCATCTTCTTAAACTCAAGAAGTTCAGCTAAATAAATTTACCCAAATATTCTGTACCTTAGAGCTTAGCTTAAAGCTTCCCAATGATAGAGAATCAAAATGCCCTTGACTTACTCTCAAAACTTATTGCTCTGGATCCTAGACACAGAATTTCTGCTAAAGAGGCATTGAGACATGATTTCTTCTTGCCAATTAGTAAGAAATAAGAGATTTAAGACTTTAAAACTAAGATAACTCATCAGAATCGACAGCAAGTTACTCCTAACACTCATTAGAATTTTCATTTATGATAATGGAATCCACTTAAGGTAATTTATTAATTGTTCAGTTTGGCTAAGTTTGTTGCTAAAAGTCTGGACATCTATAAAATATTAGCAATTATCTAATTTCTATAATCTAATTATTTCAAAATTATGTCAGCCGGGGTTTTGGGGTTTTGGGGTTTTGGGG